GAGCTGGAGTGGGAGGAAGGGTGTTTCCTGGCGCTATTTCCCGGTTTGACTCTGGCCGGAAACTTCGAGCGTCCAGCGGCCCTGGGAAGCGGAGCGGCGGTAGCCCGGCGGGGCAGGAGCTGGGCGGCGCAGGGGCCAGAGCCGAAGGGGAGTGAGCCCAGCCCGCAGGGCGACTGGTATTTTCCGGGCGGCTAAAAGGAGAAGAAAGCCACAGGCCGCCTCGGCCCGAAGCTGGGTGAGAAAAACTTCCATAATTTTTCCCTTCTCCTTTCCGTCCGCGAAGGAAACGGCCCTTCGCCAAGCGGCTCTCCTCTTCGTTCTGCGGCAGGGCCGGTCTCTGGAGGGGCGTGTGCGCAGGTGGCAAAACACACCTGAAATGCACGATTTCTACTGTGCGGCCTACTTCTCGTGGATTTGGGCGGGCCTCGCTCACATCCCAAATTCCGTGGAAGTTCAGGCTTCCGGGCCATAAAATTCCGATTATTTGCGCTAAGAGCTCCGCGGAGGAATACCGAGAGGTTGCGTTAAGCCAGTCCAGTCTCGGTGCAGATGCGAGGCCTTGGAAGCGTCGTCGTTTAAGTGGGATAACCAGCGGTTTGGGGTAGATAAGTAGGGAGGGGAAAGCAGGTCGCACACGAAGATCTGTTGTGGGAAGGAAACGATGAATATGAACAGGGGCTCTTCTTAGCTTTCCGTCTTATTGAGGTTGTGAACCATTTGGAAGAATTAAGATGCGAGTGCCCTTCCTTCACAGTTTGCCCTAACAGAAATTGCAATGTACACTACATTCGTAATCACGTTTTCCCTAATTTTGAAAGGAATCTCACCCACCCCCTCCAATCTCACACTTCAGACTTGTGAATAAATTCAGAGTTGTTAACCAACCCATCCACAGATATTTTATTAATTATTTCTGGCTACTGGTTGTCTAAAAAAGCAGCCATTTTTATTAAGAATACGTATTCATTAAAAACTGGGAATAAATTTTCCTATTATAATAATGGAATAATAATGGAATCATACGCATAATTAATACTTGTTAATTAGAATTCATTGAAAGTGTGGGAAATAGTCTGCTAATGTTTACAGTGTGGGAAGAAGTACATCATGGTTGTAATCCAGTGGGTATTTACTTTGAAATATGCAAATATCATATCTCAAGACTGATTATGTTTGCAAATCATGTGTATTGTTGGTTAATTGCTTGACTAATTTTCTGTATTTCCATAATATATTGAACCTAAAGCTAACCTCAAGTTTGGATTTGCACTAGAATATAGTTTGTAATTTGCTTGGCTAGCTTGTGGGTTAGTATGTTGTGGGAACACAACCTGTGATGAAATGCCGACTACATACCTTCAACATTTGCTGGTTTTCCTCCCTTTTTATTTATTATTTTATCTGACAAACAATTTTGGAGAGTTCAAAAGACTGCATACTACTTTGTGATCAGTAAGTTGACTTAATAAAGCAACTGCTTTTATCATGGAATTTGATATTTCAGTAACAGTCAAGAGTTACTTCTGTTTTTTTATACATGTAAGTATAGCGGAAATAATTAAAAAGCAACTGAACAGTTTTAAGTAGCTTGGCCTAGGAAAGGGAGGTGAGCAGTCTGCATCTATTAGATATGCAATTCCTTTTTTCAGAGTTTTTAGAATTACCTTTGCAGTAATCAGTTTCTTACATATAGTATATATACTATACTATTACTATATATTACATATAGTAATGTAAGGTAG